GGCGGGTTAAACATAGTACAAGCTTGTTGACTTAGAGAAATTGGTAAATAGTTTCAGGTGTAGGTGATTCCTTGGCGCTTTACGAACTATGCTTATCTTTGGAAAAAAAAGTTTGGTGTAAAATTGTGTAAACAAGCTTGCAATTTTGACTTGACTGACGACGATCTGTTGCAAAGCCTCCTATTTATTTGTTTTCAAAAATATGCCTCGAAGTATTTCCCCTTAGAACTAAATATATATATATATATATATATATATATATATATATATATATAAAAGTGAACATAGAAGTCAACACTCAGAGGTGACAAGCGGTTTCATGCCAGACGCAATCATCAGGCCGATTGTGTCTAGCGTGAAACAGCTTGTCACCTCTGAATGTTGACTTCAATGTTCACTTTTATATTTATATTTACAGACGCTCTATTTCTGATATTGAGCACTTTATCCCATAAATATAGCTCACCTTAAAACTATATTTCTTCATTCATATATATATATATATATATATATATATATATATATATATATATATATATATATATTGTCATCCACAAACAGAATGTTTCGTAGCACATCAGTGTGGCTAGACATCCGGTTGCCTCAAGGCAAGATGGAAGCCCAACTGATTTAGTATCAGTCGGATATTTTACCCCTAAGATATTGTCGCACGGCAGGGAGGAAGGTGATTTTACATGTATTTATTTTAGACAAACACACCAGGATATATATATATATATATATATATATATATATATATATATATATGAGATTATTGCTTCTCACCTTCTTCTCTTGTCTTAAGTGCTGTGAGTGTTGAATTCTCCAGCTCTTCTTTCCTCAGAGTGTCCTAGAAATTTCAGCGATAGTTTTAATTATATGATTTATTTTGTTTTTCATGTATATCCAAACTTTCCTTAAAAGCCTGCCTCGAAAATCAGCATTTAATACCTTGGATTTCATTTGGGATAGGACGCGTACCAAATCAGATTTAAGCTTAGTCTAATCTAGCACAGGGCCTCAGTAATCTGCGAGCATAGTTTGTTAATCATAACACCGCGTCAGGAGCGCACGTAGGTAGCGTGTGTTTGTCTGAGCGACGAGAAAATGGTCAGCCCAAGACAATGTAGTCTAAGAAACAGAGAAAACAGACAACGCCTCCTCAAAACGCTGGCATCGAAGAGCAAGTGGCCAAACAGCAGGGAGAACAGAAATCGCGAACCGAGTTCAAGCTACGGCTAAGGTAGTATGCGTTCATGCCTTCGTAATGAACTTCGCAATCTTTCCTCTACACACATAAATAGCCTCCTTTCTAAGCCTTGCAAATGTGTTAAATAGCAGGACTGACTAGATCTTCCGCCTTGGCTGGCAGTCTAAAAGAACAACGACTTCGAGTTAAAAATCGTAAAGAAAGCAAGAAGAAGCCACACCATTGTCTTTCCCAAGAGGTTACTGCAATTACAGCTATTAAAAGGAAGCTGTGGAAAGCCATGACTGCGTACGTTTTGAAGCCTAATGTATTACAAAACTTATCGTATTTATACAAAGTTGTGCGTTGTTATCCATTACCGTAATTTTTTCATTATGCTTTTAAATGCAAAACGGTTGACAATGTGCTGAGCGTTCATGAGAACGTGAAAAAATTATCCATTATGGAATTTTTTCCTCCATGTTATAATATCATGGTCACACGCGCATTAACGCGTGAAAAATAACTGTTCCTTTACAGGCATTTCAGAACATTGCTGCAGTATTCATAGTTGATTCTGTTCAGTGCAGGTTAAAATTTTTTTTTAATATAAATTGCTTCTAGTATCTGTAATCTAAATTTGTTGTTTTCATGGTGTAGGATAGTTGTGTTGTCGATTAATTTTTTATATTGTGAATATATATATATATATATATATATATATATATATAAAGATTCAAGAAACAGCAGTTTTTTTTTATATATAGTGCTCAATATTAAAAATAATATTAAAAATAAACCATTAATAATATTATATAAAAAGAAAGAGTATTATGACAAAGTGACAAACTATTGACACTGCCGATAAGTTCTCAGCATTACTACTAGTGACATCGATCAACCAACATATGCATCAACTCCAAGCCTTACTAACTCTACCCTTCCTCTAAGTTGCTTCCCTTGCCCACAAAGAGGTTATCCACTCTCATCTTCTGTATCAGCAATACAAAGAATTTTATATTAACAATTTTGTCATACTTTCTTTCCGCCTCACAGGAAGGCCATTGCTTTTTTCTGTTTGACCCCCCCCCCCACCATTCAATGAGAAACGGTAACGTAAGGCATATATTTAAAATAATAAAATGTTGGATTAAAAATAAATCCATTAATTCTTTCGAAATATATCCTTTATGACTGCTTTACTAATCTCCACTTCATATAAGTTTTAAGCACGGTGTAGATACCGTATCTACTTGCACCAGGTACTCTCGCAATATGACTGTAATCAAGTTGTGTTACAAGATACTGCTGGGGCGCCCTGGGTTACAGTTAATAGGTTTTTGGTCCCAAAATCATACCTGAACGCGAGGTCTTCGCCTGAAGTAGGTTTTGTTGGAGATACCACCATTGCTGTTGCTACAGCATTCCTTCTGAGGATTTTTATAACGCGTGTGTTGATTCTTTCTGTGTGTAACTTTTTGGCATGTTTCTGGAACCTATAGAAGACCACGATTCTTCAGTCTTCATATACCAGCAATTATTTTCACGTTATTTTGCCATAACAAGATTGCATATTCTGTGTGTTTGTGTGCATGTGACTTGCTGACACCCGTTACTCTTTTTTTTCTTTTCTTTTTTTTTAACGAGCCTTTTGACGTTTGGATCGGAAAACATCACACAGTACTAAAGCTTTCTTCTCTTGTAAATCATATTATTTCTTTTGTCTTGAACTCACGAACATTGAAGAGAAAGAGATAGAGAAGTTACTTTAACGCCAAATCAACCCTTATCGAGTTACTTAATGTCAAATTCAAGTCTAATATGACAGAAAACACAATGAATTAATAGATAAGTAAATATAGGTCCGGTGTACATGAGATTCAAAAAAGTAACCATAATTTTAGTTTAGACTAAAGTAAAAAAAAAAAAGAGACATGAGTTCAATTTATACTAGAGTGAAAAACGTAGACATGGGTTAAGTTTATACTAGAGTAAAAACGGTAGACATAGGTTCAGTTTACACCAGGGATAAGAAGGTAGACATGAGTTCAATTTATACTATAGTTAAAAACGGAGACATGGGTTCATTTTGTACTAGAGTAAAAAAAAAGTTAGACATCGGTTCACTTTATACAGTAGATTAAAAAAGGTAGGCATAAGTTCAATTTATACTAGAGTTAAAAATGTAGATATGGGTCCAGTTTATACCAGGGTTAAAAAAGTAGACATGAGTTCAATTTATACTAGAGTTAAGAACGTAGACATGAGTTCAATTTATACTCGAGGGAAAAACGTAGACATGAGTTCAATTTATACTAGAGTGAAAAACGTAGACATGGGTTCACTTTACACGAGGGTAAAAAAGGTAGACATGAGTTCAATTTATACTAGAGTAAAAAAAGTTAGAAATGGGTTCAGTTTACGCTAGAGTAAAATAAATGGTACACATGGGTTAAGTTTACACTACTGTAAAAAAAAAAAAAGGCACGTACAATTTTGAATTCAGACTTTTCCTTCTCCTAAACCGGTTGCCACTGAAAGCTGTAGAACCCAGTCTGTCTTACCCATTACTGGGGTAGAAGAGATGGATTCATGGCTTTCCTAAGGGTATTAACACATAAGTAAATGTAATAAACACGACTGGAATTCGAACTCGGCTCTCCAAGTCCATTAGTCTACCGTGCTCCCTGAAATGGCATGACAGGACCCCAAGAGTGTGAGTCTAATACCTGGTTAAGGCGGTGGAGAACGTTGGTAGGGGAATTAATAAGCGATAACTGATAACTGCCATCCATTAAACATGGCACGTGGAACTAGAGCAATCTGCCCCAGTGAGCGAAATAAAGGATTCAGTTCGACATTCCAACCACCTGAAGAAGGTGGAGCGTACAACGGCCGAAACGTTGTGATAAATATGGCGACAAAGATGATAGTCCGAATAGTGTAAATAGAGTACATAAAAATATCTTTAAAAAATAATTCTATTTATTAAGCAATAATTTTCGAGGAGTCTAATAAAATCTTTTTTTTTTTTAATTATTTCACCCCAAGCAAGGCAGAAATGCCACTAGTACGCAGGGGGTTACAGAAAGTGGACTTGGGAGAAAACACTGGATATAGAGGGATAAAAACTTACCAGCCCCACTTCAATTTTATGATTTAATGTTCAGCTCTGGGTAGACATTGTCCAGTCTGAATGGAAGGTGAATGTATTATTTCAATGGGAAATGGGTCCTAAATTTAATTAAAAAAAATGCGCATAAATCCCCAGTGCAGGGATTGAACTGAATTATCCCTCGAGACAATGCTTAGTGGATTAAAGTTGTTTCATGAGTTTGGTGACATTAATTGTGAGTTCAATCCCTAGGCCCGGCAGTGTGTACTTGAAATTAGTGGAAACAAGACGAACAATAACTGGTAAGTACTAAAAATAAGAACTAAACGAGATATCTCTAGACATGGATAGTGGAAAAAGAACACTCTGTCTCTATAGATTAAATAAAGGGTTCAGTTCGAAATTTCCTGTAAGGTTTCCCCGGATCGGCATACACATGATGAAGACCGGAGGGCACAACGGTCGAAACGTTGTGATAACAACAACAAAGATAAGGACAATAGCCAGCATGTAAATAGTGTAAATAAAAATCAACTCCTCGTCCCAGAAATCGAGTAAAAATAGCCATAGAGCTTGTAAAACAGGTATATACTTAACTTCTATGATCATGATAGACAAACCCAGAAAAACATGTGTCAGGTGATAATAACGAGATATTTGAGTAGATTTAACAGTCAGGATATATTTCCTGAAAATATGAATCTATCTATCTATCTATCTATCTATATCTATCTATCTATCTATCGCGTTCATATCTATCTCAATCTCTTCATATATTATCCTTCTATCTATCGATCGATCTCAATCTGTTCGTATTTATTTATGTATCGCAATCCATCTATATATCTATCTATCCATATATGTATCAAGCTCGCTTGCTAGCCTGTTCATATCTATGTCAGCCTGTTCACATCTATCTCAATCTGTTCATATATTAGTAATCTATCTATCTGCTCGTATCTATTTATCTATCTCAATTCTGTCTCTCTCATATATATATATACATCTATATTCTGACTCTCTCTCTCTCTCTCTCTCTCTCTCTCTCTATATATATATATATATATATATATATATATATATATATATATCGATCTCCCTGTCTGTTCATATCTATCTCAGTCCATCTATATATCTATCTATTCATTCATCTATCTATCGATCTCAGTGTATTCGTATCTATCTATCTATATCAATTTATCTATCTCAATCCTCTCACCCTCTCTCTCTCTCTCTCTATATATATATATATATATATATATCGATCTCTGTTCATATCTAATTATCTATCTCAGTCCATCTATATATCTATCCATCCATCCATCGGTCGATTGATCTCAGTCTATTCGTATGTATGTATGTATGTATGTATCTATCTCTCTCTCTCTCTCTATATATATATATATATATATATATATATATATATATATATATATATAAAATTCTGTGACTTCCGATAGTCCGTCCGTCTCACCCTCTAAAATAGCCATACATTGACCGATCAAAACATAATTTGGTAAGAAGTGTAAATAAGTAAGGGTGGGTGTACAAAATACAGTTGGTTTAACTGGGTGTGTAAAAACCGCGAAGTAGGTTTTTTTTTTTTTTTTTTTGTTTTTGTTTTGTCAAAGTATTTTTTTTCCAAACAAATCAACTTATTCAAATTTCATCGATTGGTTTGCGAATTTGAACGAAACATAGAGTTTGTAAATCCCGACAAAAAAAAAAAAAAAAATGTCAGCGATAATTACAATAGTAAAAATATTCTGAGTATTTTAACACACGTCAGCATGATGCAAAAAAAATCTCGCAATTAAAAATGCAGATCCCAAGACATGCACTCATTGACAGATCGTAAGACAGTTTGAAAATAAACTATATTAAAAAAAAAAATGTGAGCCCCTCAAAAACGCGGGTCCCGTACTATTTGCTACTTTTTACTACGAGGTTTATCCGGACAATCCTAATGTTTACCTAGGTTCGAACACACCACAGCAGTGATACTCGAATATTGTTAAGTTCAAAGTTATCTTAAGAAGGCCAGAGCTTACAACGGTCGAAACGTCGTGAATATGGCTACAAAGACGAGTAAAATAGTCCGAATAATGTAAGTAATGTAAATAATTAATAATTTTTTTTTTCAAACGAAGTCCACCTAATAAACACTGATTTATTTATTCCTTTTTTTTTTTTTTTTTTTTTTTTTTTTGGTGGTTGAGGTATATCTATGTTCAGAGCCCTCCTTTGGATTTGAAAAGATAAGAATCAGTAGTTGAACGTGGAATACACTTCGGAAGTAACGGTTGAAAAACAATTTAGCATTTCTGAGCACGTGTTTTTCAACTGTATATTCCGCAGGGTGGCCCGAAAGTATTGTCACTCCTATAATTGGGGGTGCGGATGACAGTACTTTTGGATCACCCTGTATATTGCTTTTCCAAAATCTTGACATACATCAATTCAAAATTCTAAAGACTGGTTCAGAATATGAATTTAAAAGAAAATATCATGCAAAGAAAATAAATCAGCATTTGATATACAAAATCGGTTTGAAACTTTAAACTTAACAATACACATTATTTTATTATTGCGTATAAACTGTCTACACCGCAGCACACAGTGTAGGAGTTATTTATTATTTTTCAAAATTATCGTTAAAACTTTACGGCAGATTAAAGAATGATTTACTGACCATGATGAGAATATAATTTTACAAGGGCTTCTTTTTGTTTTAATATCACCAACTTTTACTAATGTCAATTATTAGCACTGTTTCGTGATTGAGGTTCGATTTGTAACATTTTGAATAACTTCTTTTCCATCTTTCTTTTTTTCTTAGTTTTCTTCTTTCTTTTTCTTTGTTTTCTTTTTTCGTCTTCGTTTTTCTTTCTCCTTTTCTTTTTGATTCTTCTTTTTTTCACGTGTTTTCTTTTTCTTCCTGTCTTATTTATTTTTCTTTCTTTTTTCTCTTTCTTTTTTATCCCTTTTCTTTCTTTTTTTCTCTTTCTTTTTTATCCCTTTTCTTTCTTTTTTTCTCTTTCTTTTTTATCCCTTTTCTTTCTTTTTTTCTCTTTCTTTTTTATCCCTTTTCTTTCTTTTTTTCTTCTTCATTTTTTCTCCTTTATTCTTTTTTTTATTTTTTCTTCTTTCTACTTTTTTCTTATTCTTTTTTCACAATTTTTTTCTTCTTTGTCTTTCTTCATTTTCTTTATTTTTTCTTCATTTTTCTTTCGTCTTTCTTATTCTTTTTCTTCTTTCTTGCTTTTTCTCCTCTTTCTTCATTTTTCTTTCTCCTTTTCTTTTTGATTCTTCATTTTTTCACCTGTTTTCTTTTTCTTTCTGTCTTATTTGTTTTTCTTTCTTTCTCTTTCTTTTTTATCCCTTGTCTTTCTTTTTCTTTTTCATTTTTTCTTTCTCCTTTATTCCTTTTCTTATTTTTACTTTTCTTCTTTTCTTTTTTCTTTCACATTTTTCTTTTTTCTTCTTTTTCTTTCTTCATTTTCTTAATTTTTCTTCATTTTTTCTTCTTTTTTCTTCTTTTTTTACTTTTTCTCCTTTTTCTTTTTTCTTTCTTTATGTTTCTTTTCCTTTTCTTTCGTCTTTTTTCTTCGTTTTCTTTCTTTTTTCTTCATTTTCTTTCTTTTTTCTTCATTTTCTTTCTTTTTTCTTGTTTTATTTTTTCTTTGTTTTCTTCTTTTTTCTTTGTTTTCTTTCTTCTTTTTTTCTTTCTTCTTTTTTCTTTCTTCTTTCTTTATTCAAAATCTGTTCCAAATTCCTCGTTTAGCATGAACCGTTGATCGATTTTGTTCGCTTAGGAAACAAAGTTAAACAAACTTACACAGACCTATAAGCAAGCATTTTTTTAAAATTCGGAAGATTATGTTGCGCCAGAATCTCAACAGAAGATATCTGGTCCTGAAAAGATCATTTTCATATAGATTCAAGAAACTCATCATTAACAGTGGAAAGAACGGTAGTGGGGGGGGGAGTAACTTGCTACCAATATTTTCTGTGACGGTCTCTAACCTGTCCCGTTGGTCACTAAAAATAAAATATAAACCCTTTTTAAATGACGCATGCAAATGGAAAAAGAAAAAATTATAGTTCTTGGACGAAGTCATGAGTTTGACACAAGTCCTGGGCCAACTAACGAAAAACGAAATTACTACTAGAAATCGCTACACGACAAATGCCCAAACGAGGAATGCGTTTGCATTTCAAAGACCTGACTTTTATCACGAGACAAACATGACCTATTTAAAATCAAAATTAAATATTGCGTTATCTTTCGTGTTTCAAAGCCGTGGCGAAATAAAATAATAAGTGATTAAATAATTAAAATTTAAAATAAATCTACCTTTTCTAATTTTAAAATAAATCATCATGACCGATGTCCAGATTTTTTTTTCTTACTTTAAAATTAAAAAAAAATATGGTAATTTATTCTTTGTCAAAATATCGAATAAAAGTTAGTTTCCCGTTGGTTTTTTAAAATGAGTGTGGAGTAGTATTTTTTATATTTTTTTTTTAGTTTTTAGCAGATTTTTTTTTTTTTTTATTTATTTACTTTTAACTGCCAGAATTAAGCAAGCTTAAACGATGATTTTAGCAGAATGTTTATTTTTAGGTGGGGCCAAAGAAATTGTATATTTAAATTCATAAAAAACATGTCTTGCAAATAGGCACCACACACGATGTTTTCACGAGTGGATATCGACCCGGTGGGCGAGCGTAACTAACTACCTCCGAATGTTTTTTTTTGACTTTTTTTTTTTTGACTTTTTTTTTCTTTGTCATTTGATAAAATTCGTACAATTATATTATATCTTGTATTCGAAATTTTCTTTTTGAGTAAATTCTTTCTTTTTATTTTTTATTTTTTTTAACTACAGCTGACCTGTTTAAAGTTTGTTGAATTAATTCTACACCGTAAAATGCACGGAAATAGTTTATTTTGCGATGAGGTGTAGGAATAAATGATATAGTAGTCCTTTTCATTTCTACTTTGTCGTTTCAAAAATGCTGGATCGTTTTTTTCTTTTCGTTCTTTTCAACAAAAAAAGTAGTTTCACAGTGCTTTTATTGCATGTTGATAGTGCTCTACATTTATAGCCTTGTGCCAAGCAAAGCTTAGTAAATTACACGGCAATGAAAATAAAATATCTTTTTTAAACCGTGTTTAAAAAGTCAAGGTGTTTTTAAGTCGATCCATATTTCAAAATGATGCGCTTAAATAAAACAAATGTCACGTGCATTTTTTTCTCTTTCTCGTTCTTTCTTTCTTTGTATTTTTCGTTCGTTTTTCTTCGTTCTTTATTTAGTTCATTCTCTCTTTTTCGTTCGTTCTCTCTTTCCCTTTTTAAGTTGTTCTCTTTTTCGTTAGTTTTCTCTTTTTAGATCGCTTTCGTTCATTCTCTCTTTCTCTTTTTAGATTGTTCTCTTTTGCGCTCATTCTCTCTTTCTCTTTTTAGCTTTTTCTCGCTTTCGTTCATTCTCTCTTTCTCTTTTTAGCTTTTTCTCGCTTTCGTTCATTCCCTCTTTCTCTTTTTAGATTGTTCTTGCTTTCATTCATTCCCTCTTTCTCTTTTTAGATTGTTCTTGCTTTCGTTCATCCTCTCTTTCTCTGTTTAGGTCCCTGTCTTTTCGTTCATTCTCTCTTTCTCTTTTCGTTCGTTCTCTCTTTTTATTTTTTAGATCGTTCGTTCTCTTTTTCGGTTGTTCTTTCTATCTCTTTTTCTCGTTAATACTCCCTTTCGTCCATTCTCTCTCTTTCTCTTTTTCCTTCGTTATTTCTCTTTCGCTTTTTCGGTCGTCTACTTTTTCGTGTTTTCTTCCGTTCGTTCCTACATAAATGTTCCACCCACACTATCACACTGACGACCTGAGAAAGGCATATGCTGATACCACAGGACGCGGTCAATGACACTCATTAACATAAAATTTCACAGAATAGAAAGAAAGACCCTGTTTGAAATCCTCACCGCAAAGAGAAATTTCATTTTCGATTCTTCTTAAGAACAATTCGCTGTGTAATCTTTCTGTTTCTTCAGTTGTTCTTCAACCTTCTCTTGCAAATGTTTTCCCGCTTTCTAATAAGTATCACTTCTTTGGAACCTGTTTGTCATGAAACTTATGAACTAATAATGTAATCAATTAATACCGATTATAACATACACATTTATGAACGATTATACACTTTTGCATAATATGATTGGAAAGAACTAATAAATATATTGAATTTATGAACGAACTTATACACTTTTTCATATTTCATATAGCGAACTTATACCCACAATTGCTTAGACATGAAAGAACTACTTACGAAACTTGTCCTTGTACAATTGACACTTATGAACGAATTTATGCGAACGAATGAACTTATACACTGGTCGAACTTATACCCTTGTACAATTGCATAAACTTATGAACGAACTTATGAACGAACTTATACCCTTGTACAATTGCACAGACACTTATGAACGAACTTATACACTTACGAGCGAACTTATACCCTTGTACAACATAAACTTATGAACGAACTTATACACTTACGAGCGAACTTATACCTTTGTACAATTGCATAAACACTTATGAACGAACTTATACACTTACGACACTTCATGAACGAACTTATACCCTTGTACAATTACTTATGAACGAACTTATACACTTACGAGCGAATGAGCACGAAATTATACCCTTGTACACCAATTGCATAGACATTGCATATGAACGAACTTATACACTTACGAGCGAACTTATACCCTTGTACAATTGCATAAACACTTATGAACGAACTTATACACTTACGAGCGAACTTATACCCTTGTACAATTGCATAAACATATGAACACTTATGAACGAACTTATACACTTACGAGCGAACTTATACCCTTATACCCTTTGTACAATTGCATAAACACTTATGAACGAACTTATACACTTACCCCTTGTACAATTGAGAACGAACTTATACTTATACCCTTGTACAATTGCATAGACACTTATGAACGAACTTATACACTTACGAGCGAACTTATACCCTTGTACAATTGCATAAACACTTATGAACGAACTTATACACTTACGAGCGAACTTATACCCTTGTACAATTGCATAGACACTTATGAACGAACTTATACACTTACGAGCCTTTGTACACTTATGAACGAACTTTATACAATTACGAGCGAATAGACACTTATGAACGAACTTATACACTTACGAGCGAACTTATACCCTTGTACAATTATAAACACTTATGAACGAACTTATACACTTACGAGCGAACTTATACCCTTGTACAATTGCATAGACACTTATGAACGAACTTATACACTTATCCGATTGCATATACACTTATGAACGAACATATACACTTACGAGCGAACTTATACTAAACACTTATATGAACGAACTTATACACTTACGAGCGAACTTATACCCTTGTACAATTGCATGCATACGAACACTTACGAGCGAACTTATAATTGCGAACTTTACTTTATACCCTTGTACAATTGCACAGACACTTATGAACGAACTTATACACTTACGAGCGAACTTATACCCTTGTACAATTGCATAAACACTTATGAACGAACTTATACACTTACGAGCGAACTTATACCCTTGTACAATTGCATAGACACTTATGAACGAACTTATACACTTACGAGCGAACTTATACCTTGTACCTTGAACTTATATTGAACGAACTTATACTTACATAAAGCGAACTTATACCCTTGACAAATTGCACATATGAACGAACTTATTACGATGAACGAACCCTTGTACAATTGCATAAACACTTATGAACGAACTTATACACTTACGAGCGAACTTATACCCTTCCGAGACACTTATGAACGAACTTATACACTTATGAACGAACATATACCCTTGTACAATTGCACGACTTTGCTTATATACGAGCGAATTTATGAACGAACTTATACCCTTGTACGCATGTTCATTACGCGAACTTATACCCCTTGTATTGAACGAAATTGACACTTATGAACGAACTTTATCCGATTGTATATCCACTTATGAACGAACATATACACTTCTCCGATTGCATATACAGAACTTATACTTGTACAATTGTTACGTTACGAGCGAACATATACAATTATGAACGAACTTATACACTTACGAGCGAACTTATCCAGTTGCATATACACTTTCGAATGAACATATACACTTCTCCGATTGCATATACATTTATGAACTTATTTACGAGCGAACTTGTACCTTTGTACAATTGCATAGACACTTATGAACGAACTTACACTTACGAGCGAACTTATGAACAAACTTATACTTAACGAATATATCTAGATTGCATATACACTTATGAGCGAACATATACACTTCTCCGATTGCATATACATTTATGAACGAACTTATACACTTGTTCATTCGCACATACACTTTTAAACAAACTTACATTTGTGAATGAACTTATACCCTTTACAATTGCATATACACTTATGAACGAACTTATACACTTGTCCGACTACATATACACTTATGAATGAACTTATAACGCTTATGCACTTGTCCATTGGAGCACTTTGGCGTGATATAATGGTTAACTAGCTTGTCTCGCTAGATCTATTAAGACTGAGTAGTGAGTTTGTTTCTCACTGGCTGCTCCGTTCTTTCAGCATTGTGCCACGAACAATCTACGTTTACTAAACCGCTATACACTTGTCCGAATTATCTTGAATTTTCATACGAAGAAACCATGTTTTTTTGTTCTGTGTACGGGTCAACTAAGGGGTTATCCTGCTCACCATAGTTTTTAGGTCTGGAATAATTAGCCACTCAAGGCGAATACAAAAAAGTGTCATTTTAGGCTTATAGCCACTTTGTTAATTATATCTTCTTGGGATATGGACATTGACATTTTCTCATGAGAATGCTTGGATGCCATACTGTAGCCGGAAAAAAATGTCATATTTCTGGCTTCTATGTGAGTAGGAAAAAATGTCGTAGATAAAATTGGTATTTTGAATTTATTCAATTTATTAAAATATTAGTACGGCTCCTGTCTCTCCACAGACGACAAGATGATTGAAATTAAATTGTTTGTCCATTGAAATTAAGTTACTGCATTTATCAGATCATATATTCAGTTTAAATACAGAAGGAATAAAAATGACTTCAAAGAGGCGCATAATTTAAAAAAAAATGTTTTTTGCATAGCACGTGGAACTAGAATAATCTACCTCGGTGGACGAAATAAACAGTTCATTTCGGAAGAGGGATATCACGTGGAACTGGAACAATCTACCTCGGTGGACGAAATATACGGTTCAGATCAGAAGAGGCATATCACGTAGAACTAAAACAATCTACATTGGTGGACGAAATAAAGGGTTCAGTTCGGAAGAGGCATGTCACGTGGAACTAGAACAATCTACCCCGGTAGACAAAATAAAGGATTCAGAGAGTACAATGGGTGAAACATCGTTAACATGACAATACAGATGAGGAAAACAGTCCGAACAATGTAAATAATTACAATACCTCATCTCAGAAATATAGACAGAAATCTTCTGTTACCCAGGTGTTGTTGCCATATATAAAGGAAAATTTGCCTTCACTTCAAATTTTGGTTTCATTCAAAACATGTGTGCATCCTTGTTTGCGCAACGACAGACATAAAGTATTTCTAGAAAATAAAAAAAAAACATAAAAATATCTGTATCTGTCTATATTTCTGAGATGAGGTATTATGTGCACTATTTACATTATTTGGACTATTGATCTCATCTTTGTCGCCATATTTATCACAACGTTTCAGCCGTTGTACGCTCCGGCCTTCTTCAGATGGTTGGAATATCGATCTGAACCCTTTATTTCGCTCACTGGGGTAGACTGTTCTAGTTCCACATGCCATAACAGGACCCCAAGAGTGTGAGTCTAATACCTGGTTAAGGCGGTGGGAGAACTTTGATAGGGGAATTAATAAGCGATAACTGATAACTGCCATCCATTAAACATGGCACGGGGAACTAGAACAGTCTACCCCAGTGAGCGAAATAAAGGGTTCAGTTCGACATTCCACCCACCTGAAGAAGGTGGAGCGTACAACGGCCGAAACGTTGTGATAAATATGGCGACAAAGATGAGGACAATAGTCCGAATAATGTAAATAGAGTACATAAAAATATCTTTAAAAAATAATTCTATTTATTAAGCAATAATTTCCGAGGAGTTTAATAAAATCTTTTTTTTTTTTTAATTATTTCACCCCAAGCAAGGCAGAAATGCCACTAGTACGCAGGTGGTTACAGAAAGTGGACTTGGGAGAAAACACTGGATATAGGGGGATAAAAACTTACCAGCCCCACTTCAATTTTATCATTTAATGTTCAGCTCTGGGCAGAGATTGTCCAGTCTGAATGGAAGGTGAATGTATTATTTCAATGTTTTATTTCAAACTCAATCAAACTGTTTGCGTATGCATGTATGCGCTTGTATCTTCACTAAAAGGGAAAAACACGTGTACGTCACTCACTCACGACACAGACTTGCACATATACACACGAGCACGAAAGACTAAACTCCCTGATGCACCTGATTTCTCTGGTGCTCCTGCTGTATATCTCGAGATTATTGACAAAACCCAAAGAAGTTGTCTGAATTGTTTCTAGCGTGGCACTGCGTGTAATCTATTTTGGTATCATCTGGGGTGAACTCAGTACAAACCGGGGTCATCACAGATCAATTCCTCGTAGAACAAAAGCTCTTTATTGACCTTAAATTTGATTCAGGCTATCTATTTTCTGACGTGAATAACACAGGCCAATAAATTAAATATGTTTTATTTTTCCTGCAACGCCGAGTAATTTTAATCTTCAGGGCAATTGGGAGTTAAATGGCTGGCGCCCATCACCTCTCCAAGTAAGATGCAACAGGTTGTAGTAGGTTACTAGTATCAATAGCAAAAATGTTCCTCACCTAATTTTACCCTGAGAACGATGGATAATACATGACGATAATTTTTGTAATACATTAGGCTTCAAAACGTACGCAGTCATGGCTTTCCACAGCTTCCTTTTAATAGCTGTAATTGCAGTAACCTCTTGGGAAAGACAGTGGTGTGGCTTCTTGCTTTCTTTACGATTTTTAACTCGAAGTCGTTGTTCTTTTAGACTGCCAGCCAAGGCGGAATATCTAGTCAGTCCTGCTATTTGCAAGGCTTAGAAAGGAGGTTATTTATGTGTGTAGAGAAAAGATTGCGAAGTTCATTACGAAGGCATGAACGCATACTACCTTAGTCGTAGCTTGAACTCGGTTCGCGAGTTCTGTTCTCCCTGCTGTTTGGCCACTTGCCCTTCGATGCCAGCGTTTTGAGGAGGCGCTGTCTGTTTTCTGATTCTTCGACTACATTCTCTTGGGCTGACCATTTTCTTGTCGCTCAGACAAACACACGCTACCTACGTGCGCTCCTGACGCGGTGTTATGATTAACAAACTATGCTCGCAGATTACTGAGGCCATGTGCTAGATTAGACTAAGCTTAAATCTGATTTGGTACGCGTCCAATCCCAAATGAAATCCAAGGTATCAAATGCTGATTTTCGAGGCAGGCTTTTAAGGAAAGTTTGGATCTACAAGAAAAACAAAATAAATCATATAATTAAAACTATCGCTGAAATTTCTAGGACACTCTGAGGAAAGAAGAGCTGGAGAATTCAACACTCACCGTACTTATTTAAGACAAGAGAAGAAGGTGAGAAGCAATAATCTCTTGTACAATTTTCAGAGGACGGATGGCAGAACAAAACAAAAACGTTAGAGCAACAAAAGACAGGAAGTTGTGGAGAGCCATGATCGTTCACATCCTGAAAAAAAAACGACAACTTGCAGCCGGGGATTGTAAAAGAAAATATTTGTTGAAACATGTTCTGGGCATTCACTTTTGTACAGATGCCTTTAGGAAATGCACGAATCCATTTCTTACCCTCCCCCAGCTATGGGTCAAATAGCATAGCAGACTGAGATCTCTAACCTTGGATGGAAGCTAGTCTAGGAATAGGAAAACTCTGAATAAAAAAATTGTGGAAAAGGTAAAGGGAAACCTCTATATTTTCAAAGAAGTCAAGGTAATTTACAGATAATAAAGAAAAGGATTCTGTGGAGAGCCATCACCGCCTATCTCTTAAAGAGACATGGTATATATATATAAAAAAAAGAAGGATTTTAAAAAAAGGTAATTTTGAATAATGTCCTTTACTTGAAATAATTTTTAATGAAGTAAAAGAAATGGCTATTTTTAAAAATATATTTTTGAATTTACGTATGTAGTGGACCGTGGCGTGAGTTAAAATTTCCTGCTGGCCGGTCCAACCACATGAGAAAGTTGGACTTTAATTAAGTCCAAAGAAGACAAAGAAATTAAACAAGACCGATAAATATATATAAACAACTATATGTATTAACAACAAGTACAAGTTACAAGCACATGGACAGTTACATTGAGTGCGTGCGGTGAATATTATATGTGTGTGTATGTGTGTTGTGGTGAGTGTTCGTACGTACGTGTATTGTTCTTAGCGTGTTCCCAGAATTTGGGAAACGCTGTATTGGTGAGAGCTCACATATGCGAGGTGGTATAAGTCCCAAGGCCTGAGGAAAAAAAAAAAGAGACCGAGGCAAAGGTTCACCCAGTATTTATAGCCAGGGGAGAGAGACCCCTGGTGAAGGATTAAGGAACTCAGGAGGAGCTAACTCCGACACGTATATAAAGTGTCCAAATTTTTTATTGTATTTAAAATCTGTTACGAACAAGAAAGGTGGCACTTCGACACGATGTAATCGTTAGTAAGTGTTTCTCACTAGATCAGTGGTTCACAACCGACTTGGGTCGTGCTCCACTTTAGTATTTCTAAAATTCTGGTGACTCCCCCACACACACACACCGTAATATTTAATTCTTACATGTATGCCAATTACACATGTACGTAGATACACACAAAATATTTTTTTAATATTACTGTATATGCAGGCAACTTGGTGTGGTGTAATGGTTAGCAAGCTTGTTTCACTAGATCAGTTACGACTACGCTTAGAAAATAACTATATTACTGTATATGCATCGTATGTGTTAACACACATTAACACTCTCACTCACACTAGAAAACAATACCTCAGTCTCGAATTGCCCCCTTATTCTGTTGGCATAGGAAGCCGAAGGGTGCACATTCCCCGCATGTCCCACCAAAATATTACCATGCCCCACCGGTGGGGCATGCGCCCCAGGTTGGGAATCATTGCGCTAAATCCATTAAGACTGAGTAGTGAGTTTGGACCTCACTGGTTGGCCTATACTTTCGGCTTTCTGCTACATCTGAGGGTATTTTTCTGTTCGCCCACGTCGTTACCGAATGTGGCGCAAGGTCGATAGAGTGAATTTAACGGCAATACCGTTGAAAAATTGCCCAAGCCCCCTCGACCGTAAACTCAGCCCTCTCCCGAAGAAAAGGTACTTGCCTGGGAAAAAGGCCGCTTGGACTTAATATTTTTTTTTTTTAACTTCCCCGGCATGTCCAACGTAACGCTTAGAAAATCCCCATTGCGACTAAATAGTGAGTTCTATCCTCACTGGGTGCGCCATACTTTCGGCCTTGTGCCACATCTAGGTTACTCTTAGTAAAACGTTACTACGAAAAAGAAAAATTGATTTGATTTTATTACTAAATCCCTCTCACTTCCGACTATTATTTTAAGTTGTGGCTAAAACAAAATTACCGAAAAGTTTAAGCCTAGTCAGATAGATTATATGAACATTGTTTGAAAACAGTTATCCGAAAAACATTTATTCGAATTGTAAATTGTTTGAATAAAAATTAATCAAAAGGACAATTATAGTAAAAGATAATTATTCGAAATGCAAAATTCATTGTTGCAATAAAAATGTAAAAATTAAGAGAGGAAATACACAAATGATAATTATTCGAAATACAAATATCGTTAATAAAAACAATTTAATAAGAAAAGAACCTTATAATCTTAAATTATATGATAATGAACGAAAATAGTCAACAACTGAAGAGGAGTCGTTAAAGGATGCCACTAATTTTTTAAAGTTTCCATTTACATACGCACTTGATAACACTCATTTCACACTAGAAAACAATACCTAAGTCTCGAATTGCCTCCTTATTCTGTTGGCATAGTAAGCCGAAGGGTGCACATTCTACGCATGTCCCACCAAAATATTATTATACCCCACCGGTGCGCACTTGATATTTTGGCAGTCTGCTCTTACTTTTGCAATATGAATTTCTTGCAAGTCCTGTTCTCTTTTAAGTGCGTCCAAGAATTTCCATATTGTGGGATGATGGGATGACACTTGCTGCAAAAAAGCTCTATGCCATCCTCCAAGGGAATTATTAGTTCTAGGTAAATTAGCATTGACTCTCTCAAACTAAGTCCACATACGTATTTCAATTATAGATATTTCGAATAATTATCATTTAGTATAACTGTCCTTTCGGTTAATTTTCATTCAAATAATTTACAATTCGAATAAATGTTTTTCGAATAATTGTTTTTTGAACAATTTTTCGATTCAGTTTAGATATAAGCTTTTTAAACATTTATATATATATATATATATATATATATATATATATATATATATATATATATATATATATATATATATATTGTATTGTTGTTTTATTTGGTTTTCTTTTCTGTCACCTTGATTTCTTTTTAACCCAGGAAGGACTAATCCTTTCTGCCCGTATCTTAGAACGATTTTCTAAACGTAATTATATTCAAAATAGACCTTACAATTGTAAATAAAGTACAATAAATGGCACTTTCTGATGAAGTCGTCGTCGTAGTAGCAGTCGTAGTAAACATCATTGAAGCAATAGCCAGTATGCATATAGTAGTAGTAGCAGCAGCAGCAGCAGTTGTAATTTCTCCATTCATAAAAAATTAAATCTAACGAGTGTCTTGTTTGGTCTTTCATCCGATTTCGTTTCAGTCTGCCTGATTTTAACTTTCCACTTCTTCCTTCACCCGACTCGATTTCCTCTTCTCTCTTTTATCTCCTCATTTCCCTCTAAATTTATCCCTCCATTTCTCTCGACCCACCTTCTCCATTTCTCACTCACCCCTCCTGCTTTTCCCATTTCTCTCTCACCCCTCCTGCTTTTCCCCATTTCTCTCTCTCCTCCCTGCTTTTCCCATTTATCTCTCACTCCTCCTGGTTTTCCCCATTTCTCTCTCTCCCCCTCCTGCTTTTCCCATTTCTCTCTCTCCCCCCTCTTGCTTTTCCCATTTCTCTCTCTCCCCTCCTGCTTTTCCCATTTCTCTCACTCCCTCCTGCTTTTCCCATTTCTCTCTCACTCCTCCTGCTTTTCCCCATTTCTGTCTCTCCTCCTCCTGCTTTTGTCATTTCTCACTCTCTCCTCCTGCTTTTGGCATTTCTCACTCTCTCCTCCTGTTTTTCCCATTTCTCTCTCTCTCCCCTCCTGCTTTTACCATTTTCTCTCTCACTCCTCCTGTTTTTCCCATTTCTCTCTCTTCCCCTCCTGCTTTTCCCATTTCTCTCTCTCTCCCTCCTGCTTTTCACATTTCTCTCTCCCCCTCCTGCTTTTCACATTTCTCTCTACCGCCTCTTGTTTTTCCCACTTCTCTCTCTCTCTCCTCCTGCTTTTCCCATTTCTCTCTCTCTCCCTCCTGCTTTTCCCATTTCTCTCTCACTCCTCCTGTTTTTCCCATTTCTCTCTCTCCCCTCCTGCTTTTCCCATTTCTCTCTCACTCCTCCTGGTTTTCCATTTCTCTCTCTCTCCCCCTCCTGCTTTTGCCATTTCTCTCTCTCTCTCCCTTCTTGCTTTTCCCAATTCCCTCTCTCTCTCTCTTCTGCTTTTCCCATTTCACTCTCTCCGTGTGTTACCCATTTCTCTCTCTCTCTCTCTCTTTCCTGCTTTTCCTGTTTTTCTCCCCTCCAGCTTTTCCCATTTCTCCTCTCCTTGCGTTTCCAATTCTCACTCCTCCTTGCATTTCCCATCACTTTATTTTACCTATCCTCTCCCATTTCTCTCTCTCCCCTTCTTGCCTTTCCCATTTCTCTCTCTCCCCTTCTTGCCTTTCCACTTTCTCTCTCTCCTCTTCTTGCCTTTCCCATTTCTCTCTCTCCCCCCTTCTTGCCTTTCCCATTTCTCACTCTTCCTGCCTTTCTTATCTCTTTATCTCTTACATTTCTTTCCCATCTCTCTTTCTCCCTCTTCTTGTCCATCTCTTTCTGACCAATAGAAAGGCATGAATCTGCTGCTCCCTATCTACCATTCCATAATGATTGACATTGAATAAGTGAGAACTTGGAGATTCTCCCATAACTATCTTACCTGTCGAAACAGTAGCCGCAAAAAGCTATTGTTCCCATTGTCAGCTATGACAGAATCTGGTCATATGTATAGCGGGTGCACAACACATACACACACACACACACACGCACACAAGCATTGGTATCGAACTCCATCTTCTTATATATAAAAAAAGAGAGAAAGAGAGAGATGTTGCTTTAAAAATGTATTGTTGCTAATTCTAATATAAATATCTATTGTTGCTATTTCTTGTTTGTTTTACATAAAAATACATTGCTGGTAATTTTACAATAAAAATTATTTTCTACTTTCACTGTGTTTTGTTTGGGGTTTCACTATTTGCCCATAGCTGAGATCCTAACAGGGGCTACCACTCTGGGTCAGGGTGGAGCTGGGAACAACAGCAATTAAGAGGTGGTTCCACGCTTCTCAAAACCTCCAATCTCCCGATCAGAGGCCTTGCCGCCGGAAGTAGTTTATCTTCACCCCCCCTCCTCAACAAAAACGGCCTTCATTTACAAACCTGAAGAAGGCCATAAAAATATATTGGCTAAAAATATTTTAGTAACACCATAAGTAAACAAGAAAAAAAGAATCATAGTATAATTCTCCTTGTTCCTTAGTTAGATAGTGCGTACGTTACGCCGTCATTACCTCTTAAATAATGGACTATTCCGTCTTGAATGAGAGGAAAGACGGCAAAGACTTATGGGAGTTGCTGTTTGGTTTCAGCAGCAACACTGCTTGTTGGTCAGTTCCTTACTTCGTTGGCGTGTACGTTACGCCTTGCCAATACCTCATAAATAATGGACTGTTCCGTTTTGATTGCGAGGAAAGACGGAAAAGACGATCAGATAGTCTATTTGGTTTCAGTGAGAGAAAAAAAGAAGGAACGAAAGAAAGACGGAACAACAAAAAAAGAAGGAACGAACGAAAACTCTGTTTAACGTCTGCTTCAGTGAATTGAAAACCTTAATAATTTTGAATCTTTCCATTTGTACCTTCTTACTTCTTTAAATAATGACCTGCATCCATATTTATGATTGTTATTGTAATATTTCGTTAAAATTGTTAAGTCCGAATATTTAACGAAGAATAGTGGAATTTGCACACCTATTTTACGAATAGTCATGGAACACACACACAGTTTATTTAATTTCGTAAAATACATCTATTGGATGCTTTAGTACACATCATCACTGACGTTTCTAGCCGAGGTTCATTAGGGGTTTCGGCTCTTTCAACATCATACCCCCTCTCCAAGGTGACCAAGCCGATACTGATCGGGTGTCGACTTGTGTACCGTCTGTCAGCTACAATTTATCATTAACTTAAGAATTAAGATTTATCAGAAAATTAAAATCAGAAAACCGTGAAATTTGAACGGGTACTTCAAGTTAAACTTAACGACATTTCTCAAAATTACAGAAATTATATTAAAATTTATTCTTGAAGTCGTTTTTATACCAAATATCGTTAGAAAATAATCAGCCCCGTCTGAAATTTTTAATATACAAAATATACAGAGAATGTTTTTCTTCCTAGAACAAAATAATCGCATCGTGGAGAAAATTATTTTAAAAATAAGTTTGCCGTATCAAACAACCACCGTACCAAGAGTTGTTGGGTGGTGAATGTTTGAATGAAACAATCATATCGATCCTCGAATTTGGTGCAAAAAAGTATTTGACTATGATTTTAAAACTACGTATCCCATTGGCTAAAAACGATGAGTAACTTCGTATAACGGTTCAGGGCAAAACGGAATCCGCCCTTCCGATTGGCCAAAACACCAATAGTAAAATAAAATTAAATCCCGATTGGTCAGAATTCATACATAGAATTGAATAAAAGGAAATCATTTGAGTAGGCACAAATATTGTTACAATTCGTGGGCACCTCGACAAGCTTGTCTTGCTAGAACAATTAACACTGAGTAGTGGGTAGTGCCCCCTACTTTAGGCCTTGTGCCACATCTAAACTACGCTTAGAAAATAACTACTTGGACACCTCGAGGTGGTGTAATTGTTAGCAAGCTTGTCTCGCTAGAACAATTACGACTGAGTAGTGAGTTCGATCCTCACTGGGTGCCCCATACTTTCGGCCTTGTGCCACATCTAAGCTACGCTTAGAAAATCTTTAGGGCACCTCGAGCTGATGTAATTGTTAGCAAGCTTGTCTCGCTAGAACAATTACGACTGAGTAGTGAGTTGGATCCTCACTGGGTGTCCCATACTTTCGGCCTTGTGCCACATCTAAGTTACGCTTAGAAAATCTTTAGGGCACCTCGAGGTGGTGTAATTGTTAGCAAGCTTGTCTCGCTAGAGCAATTACAACTGAGTTGTGAGTTCGATCCTCACTGGGTGCCCCATATTTTCGGCCTTGTGCCACATCTGAGCTACGCTTGGAAAATCACTATTGTTACAATTCGTTGGGCACTTAGACGTGGTGTAATGGTTAGCAAACTTGTCTCGCTAAATCAATTCCGGCTGAGTAGTGAGTTAGATCCTCACCCGGTGGTTCTTAATCTCGGCCTTTTGTTACAACTCAGCTATGCTTAGTAAATTACAATTCATACAGAAGATATACCAGAATGCTAGCCGAGAAATGATCGTTCTCGACTACGGCCACTGGAGAGACAGTCTGATGCCATACAGGCCCATGACCCCAGAGGACGTATCACTGGGGAAGTGTTCTGGTTCGCAATATATCGTATCTACTAGTGTAACGGACGACCCCAAAATTTTTATTTATAAAAAATGATTTTATCATGTATCTCATGTATCATATGAGTTCCTTTTTTGAGAGACCAAATCACTATAGACTAACCTCTTTTCCTCTTTATCCCATCTTCTAGTTAAATAAGTTAAAAAAATTAAAAGAGAATGATAAATAATCATTAGTAACGCTATACTCGTTGCGTAAACGCGTACAGCCATAAACAACCGAACGAGAAACAGCTAAACATTTTATAAACGTAAACAATGGAAAACAGGCATATTCGCTGTTTCTATTTTATAATACGATACGAATATAGGAATATTACATGAATTATTATTAGATAAGGTTAAGTAAATCATCAGTTTGATCAAGATCATGTTTATTTTCAATACAGCTGGACTTTTTGACTCCAATCAATGGATATATAGTTTGGTCAACGGTGTAGCAAGGGCCAGCAGTACATACGCTAATTTTATATCGCATGTATGATACGACCCTCTTAAAATTAACTTCAAAATTAGGTCTTCAAATGTCGCACGATACGCGAGTATATACGAATAAAATGAACAGCTTCTTTCATCTTGATTTTAATAAATTTTTCTCTTTTAATTTTTTTCAGGACCCAATACAGTTAAAACCCAGTAGGCAGGGCGTGCTTGCAAAATCTCTCTTCCATCACTGAACTTGCCTTTCTGATTGGTTGAAAATTTCTGTCAATGAACCATGTGGCCCATACGGGGCCACCCATTTATCTGGGACTTTGTATATACATACGGACTTTTGTTTTATATTCTTGGATACCAAATAACAACAGTAAAGACCTCACCAGGTAAGTACTTCAAAACATCTCTTTGCTAGTAGAATTTTAACCCTCTTTGGGGATCTTGCATGTAGAATTGGATATAAAGAGCAGGATAGTTTATATATGTTTATTCCTGTCTTTGTTTTTTTTTCTCCAGCATATATTAGATTAACCTCGGCATGAAAAGGCACAGAGATATTTGGGTTCATGCCTTTTCCAATCACTAATCTGCTATATTATTTTCAACTAATACTCAAAAACTAAGACCAAGGAGTAATGGATAACGGTTCCGACTGAGGAATAGGGGAGTCGAGTTCGAATTCCATTCAAATCCATTACATTCACTTACGTGCTAATACCCTTGGGAAAGGTATTAATCCTCTTCTCCCCCACCCCCCGCCCCATCTATGAGCAAATAGCTGGACAGACCGGGTTCTATAGCCTTGGATGGTAACTGGTCTAACGCAGAAAGAAATTGCAACCTACTGCAAAAAAAAAAAATCTGCTTCGTCAGTCATGTATCGAAAGATACATGATCGTTTAAGCGTGTATCACGCATGGCACATAACTGACTGACTGTCGCGCTAATACCCTTGGGAAGGGTATGAATCCTCTTCTTCTCCCAGGTATAGGTAAATAGCAGGACGGATCGGGTTCTTTAACCTTTGGTGGCAAGAAAGAAATGAACCTACTGCGGGAAAAATCTGCCTCGTCAGTCATGTATCAAAAGATATATGATCGCCTAAGAGTGTATCACGCATGACACATAACTGACTGAAAACCATTTAGTAATAAAGTCACCTAATGCCAGATTTATGACACTTGTGACCAATGAGACCTACAAATGAAGTAACATTAAGTCAAGTGCCATACATGATACACGCTTGGGTGATCATATCTAGATTCATAACCGACTAGGCAGGAGTTATTCCCGCAGTAGGTTACCGTTTCTTTTTATGGTGGATAGGCTGTAAACCAAGACTATGGGACCCAGTAGGTTATGCTATTCATCCCTTACCTTTCCTAATGTTTGTAAGTGACTACAACGAACCCGAATGGAATTAGAACTTGGCTCTCATGCCAAAGAACGTTACTTTATAAAAAATTGAAAAAAAAAAGGATATTCTTTTGGTATTTTCCTTTAATTTTTGTAATGTCTTGTCACTTCATGATGCTGACGATCATGGCTCTCCACAGATCTCGTTTTGGGGAAAGATAGTGGTGTGGTTTTCTCACGGTTTATAATTCAGAATTCTCTCTCTTTCGGAGCATAGGCGATCATGGCTCTCCACAGCTTCCTTTTCTTTATTATCTGTCAATTGCCATGACTTAGGAAAGATAGTAGAGTTGTTTCCCGTTACTTTCTCTATGGTTTTCAATTCAGACTCTTCTCTCTTTTTCGGAGCATAGGCGATCATGGCTCTCCACAGCTTCCTTTTTCTTTATTATCTGTCAATTGCTATGACTTAGGAAAGATAGTAGAGTTGTTTCTCGTTACTTTCTCTATGGTTTTCAATTCAGACTCTTCTCTCTTTCGGAGCATAGGCGATCATGGCTCTCCACAGCTTCCTTTTCTTTATTATCTGTCAATTGCCATGACTTAGGAAAGATAGTAGAGTTGTTTCCCGTTACTTTCTCTATGGTTTTCAATTCAGACTCTTCTCTCTTTCGGAGCATAGGCGATCATGGCTCTCCACAGCTTCCTTTTCTTTATTATCTGTCAATTGCCATGACTTAGGAAAAATAGTAGAGTTGTTTCCCGTTACTTTCTCTATGGTTTTCAATTCAGACTCTTCTCTCCTTCGGAGCATAGGCGATCATGGCTCTCCACAGCTTCCTTTTCTTTATTATCTGTCAATTGCTATGACTTAGGAAAGATAGTAGAGTGGGTTCCCGTTACTTTCTCTGCGCTTTTTAATTCAAACTCATCTCTCTTCTTTCGGGGTATAGGCGATCATGGCTCTCCATCTCTTTCTTTTCTTTAGTATCTGTCAATTGCTATCACTTCGTAAGACAAAAATATTGCTGTTACCTTTTCTATGGCTTGGAATTCAGAATTCTCCCCCCAGATTTGGCTGATATCCAAAGCTATCTTACTATTTAACCTATAGCCGGAAGGAAATGAGAAGAGATGGATTCATGCTTTTCCCCAGGGCATTAGTGCAAAAGCAAACGAAACAGATTCTATTTGTCCGCGCCGATAGTCATAACACTAACTGCGCATCTATTGCATGACATTACTGTAAGCATTTCTTCAACATCTTTCTCTAAACTCCCTTTTTCCCTCATTCAACATGCTCCCTTTCTACTTCTCCCTAAACAACATCTTCCTCTCGCCTTTCTTTTCTCCCCCTCCTACTCCTCTTCAAAAAGCATGTTCATCTCATCTCTTTTTCTCCCCTCTAACTCCTTTTCGGCATCTTCCACTTTCTTTCCAATTGACATCTCACCTTTCTACACCTCCTTGAACAATATCTCCTTCTCCCCCGTCTACTCCTCATCAAACAACGTGTACCTCTTTACTCTACCTCCCCTCTTTCAGCCCTTCCTCTGGCTCTAGATTTATCATTCACAGTAACTGAAGAAATGTTATCATTTCTTGTAACACTGTTGTTATTGGCATCTTTTCCCCGTCAGCATTTGTCTTTTATTGTTTTATATCTTGGGTGAGCTGGACAAGGGTTACCATTAGTGCCAATGTTGGCACTCTACCTAATTCTCAGAATTGCTGTCACGCGTATACATTTGATTAGGGCGTGAGAGAAATGTGGGTGGGCGTGACTAAGAATCGAGTAGGTAGATGGTTTATCTCTAGTTTGTTATTATTGGATTGGTCAGTAAGAAAAATTGCAGATTTTGAGAAAAAAATTGTTTAATATATCCCACCCGAACTACATATCCTAGCTATATCTATTCTTCTTTTGGGTACTCTGGGAAACTAGTCCAATTTTATTTATTTACAACGAAATCATTTTTGTTGATTAGCAATCATTTATCACAAGATATTTATTAGAATAAAAAAAAAAACTAACTTTTTATAATTTTACGAGAGGAGGGTTCTATTCACAATATAAATACAGTGCCAAATCGATCCCTGACTTATCCGAGTTATCAGTATTTTGTTTTCTTTGTTTACAAATGTCAAGGCTTACAGTCACATCACGTTGAAACACCGTATGATCACCGAAGTTAAACAATGTCGAGTCTGGTCAGTACCTAGACGGGTGACCGCTTGGGAATACCCGGTGCTGTAAGATTGGGTGCGTGGGTGGTGTAATAGATAATGGCGCGCAATTGTTAATCGGAGAGCCGAGTTTGATTTCCGTCAGGTTGGTTATATCCATTTACCTGCAAATACCGTTGGCAAAGTTATGAATATATGTACTTCTCCCCAACTATGGGTTAATTAGTAAAAAATGTATCACTAAGCCATTATTATCTTCCCCACCCTCTCAAAAATGGGAAAAAAAGAACGTCTCAAAAGGACGGTTATTCCCTTGACACTGCTATTGTTTTAACTACCTTCACTCCTTGGCAATGTTTATTGTAACAAAACCTAAATATATGAAGGGGGCCCCTCGAGGCGGTGTAATGGCTAGCAAGCTTGTCTCGCTAGAACAATTACGACTGAGTAGTGAGTTCGATCCTCACTGGGTGCCCCATACTTTCGGCCTTGTGCCACATCTAAGCCGGGCGTAGAAAATCGCTATATGAAGGTGAATTTATACATTTTCCTCGTTATTGACAAATGACGACAAAACTAATAAACACTATTTATTAAATTATTTTTTTTACTACTTAGTTATTAGATTGTTTATTGGAATGGTTGGCAAAACATCGGCTAATTATCAATTGATTCGAGCTTTATAAAATGGTAAATACAGTGTAACCCGGATATAAGAGTCCCGGATATAAGAGAAACCCGGATATAAGAGAGATTTTATCTGGTCCCAAATTAGAGCCTGTGTTAATGTATATAAAATAGACCAAACCCGGATATAAGAGAAACCCGGATATAAGAGACTTCTTCTCCGGTCCCGACAACTCTCTTATATCCGGGTTACACTGTAATAAAGATTTAGTTATAGTTGACTCACATATTTATTTTATTCAAAATTTATTAATAAAAAATTGATTTCATATTTCTATCTTTATAAATTGGTAAATGATAAATATTGCATTGTAATAAACAGGGATTAATATTCTTGTAAATTCCGAAGAATAAAAAATGTATAAATTCACTTTCATCATATGTTTAGGTTTAATTACTATTCTAATCATCGCTTTTTAAGACATTACACACGAGTGAAGGTAGTTCAAATAATAGCGGTGTCAACGGGAAAAAACTAGCCCTCTGCCATACATTTCTGTGTGGGCATGAAGATTCAAGATTCCCAAATCCAGAATATATTTTACAACTGATATAAAAGAAGAATTCTTTCTGCATAATGCAAGAAATAAACAGAAGAAATCAATTAGTTTAATCATGCAAGTTTATTATTATTATTATTATTATTATTAGATTTCTTTTTTGAATGAATGTCTCTCACCTTTTATTATTTTCTTCTTTTGTGTCATATGTTTGTAAAACCATACTTTACTTTAAGACCCTTCTTTATTGGTGTTCTCTGTCTCAGGGGCTCTTCCATTCATTATCCTATGACTTCTACTTGGTCCCTATTAACAAGAGATATTATTTTTCTTTATTGTAAAAGCTTACTGTTTCATGTCGATGTCCTGCTTATTTAATATTTGTATTAAATAAAAAAAACGACCAAACAAATGTCTCTTTATAACTGTTTTATAAACATTTTTAAAGTATTGCTATATATATTCAACATCATCACTTGATAAGACACCAGAGGTGTTGAAACTAAAATGGCTATTTTTGTAGTGATTTTATAACATATTTGTTATAATTTTCGAATAAATAATTATATATATATATATATATATATATATATATATATATATATATATATATATATATATTATAAAGAAGTAGTCATAAAAAGAATAAATCAGTAAAGTTAATGTAATTAATGGCGAAATCACTTTGCTAACAGATTAAATAAAGCGTTAACTTACTAACAACGCTCCAAAAATGTTGTAACTGTTAATAATAACACACTTTTAAAAACATCATTCGACCAGTATTACATTTATTTTCGTCTCGGAATTTACTTGAAATTACCTGAAATTGAAATATAACATCCATGCCTGAAGATGATGAAAGCATTTATCGAAAGTACTTGCAAATGGACTGAACATCTAATGCATGTTAAAATTTTTAAAAACAAAAATCGCGTCATTCAACGAGTGGTTAATCAGTTAATGCTTTATTTAATCTGTTAGCGAAGTGATTTCGCCATTAATTACATTAACTTTACTGATTTATTCTTTGTATGGCTACTTCTTTATAATATTAATTACACTGCACTATTTAATATATATATATATATATATATATATATATATATATATATATATATATATATATATGAATGTAATGAATTGTCATAAGAGAAAATGTCGTTTTGACACACCTTTTTTTTTGCTCACAAAGGTTAATCTTACTTATTATAAAACGCAGATTGTGTGTGTGTGTGTGTGTGTGTGTGTGTGTGTGTGTGTGTGTGTGTGTACGTTTATATACTGGATCGGATTTCCAACATTTTCAACTGATTTCAGCAAAACTTCACAGGACTACGTAAAATTACCTTGCGGTGGTTCTGACAGCGCCAAAAATTGGAAAAACACAATTGTTTTTGCACGAAATCAATTTGAAAACACGATTAAGAGGCGTCACGAGAATGAAAGGGAGGACAACTCATATCGAATTATACTTATTATAAAACCCAGCTGTTGTGTGTGTGTGTGTTGTGTGTGTGTGTGTGTGTGTGTGTGTGTGTGTGTGTGTGTGTGTTCGTTTATATATGGGATCGGATTTCCTACATTTTTTCAACCGATTTCAACAAAACTTCACTTTTTTTGGCAGGTAGTGTTTTTATTGTCTTGCACACTTTTTTTCTTTATTTTTACATTCAGAATGCTTTAAAAATTCCATTTACAAGACAATTGTTTATAATAAAATTCTATTCAATCGGTAGACTCATAGCGATTAAAAACAATGTTTTTGTTTGAGTTTGGGTTTGACAAATTCGTAAAAAAAAAACAAAAGAAAAAAAAAACTAACTAAGACATGCGTGTCCGTCAGCCTTAAACAATAATCTTTGTCAATTTTATTTTTCAGTCTTTATGATGGTCGATACTTGATCTTTCTCTTACTGTTACATCCCCGACAACGCCGGGCTCTACTGCTAGTGTTTGCTAAAAAAAATGTTACAATCTAAAAATATTTTCGGGCTTTAAATAACCTGAAAAGGGTTCATAAGCCATAACGAACAAACACGATCGTAAGCAACCGATATTCATTTTTCAAGACGTGCACTGATGCCGTAATATAATTTTAATAAACGAAATGGGAGCTTGCAGAGTTTTTTCTTAATTTTCGAAATTTTGATAAGCGTAGCCATCACGTTTTTTGAGAATCATAATCAGGGGTAAAATCATTAGCCGTGCATTGATGCGGTAAAGCAATTTTCAATAGATTTCTTTCTATTCTCTTTATAAAATCGTTAGAATGAATAAAATAATTGCGAGGCATTCCTTTTGCAAAATGATTTACAATGAATGTCTATATAGGCTTTTCATATTAGCTGTCACTCTATACGAAATTATTACAGTGAATCACTTTTGATGTATTTATTTAATAAATGGTTCGTATTAAAATAATATGCAATGCTGCATTTATACAAGAAAAACTCATTAACAATAAATTGATAACATAATTGCAACGGATTACTATATATTCTATTGTTTCACGATGTTTGGACTCACTGGAGCGAAACCAAGTTTTAATATATTTGTCTATATGAGGTATTATGATTACTTGCACTATTTACATTATTCGGACTATTATCCTCATCTTCACTGCCATATTCACAACGTTTCGGCCGTTGTACGCTCTGGCCTTCGTCAGTATCTGTCTACATCTCTGAGATGAGGTATTATGATTACTTGCATTATTTACATTATTTGGACTGTTATCCTCATCGTCATTGTCTTATTCACAACGTTTCGGCCGTTGTACGCCCCGGCCTTCGTCAGGATCTGTCTATATCCCTGAGACGAGGTATTATGATTACCTTCATTATTTACTTATTCGGACAGTTATCCTCATCTTCATTGTCATATTCACAACGTTTGATCCGTTCTACGCCCCGGTGATTGAAATGTTGAACCGAACCGTTTATTTCGTCCACCGGTATAGATTGTTCTAGTTCCACATACCATGTCTCTTCCGGATATCGCACTTATTTCCCTTTAAGTCATCTCTCCACGTTTTGGTTCACCAGTGCTGTGGCCTGGTATTGAACTCACAACTCTTTTGGTCTAGTCACTGGAGCTAGCCAACGTCTTTATCCACTGGGCCATGTCTCCTTGAAAAGTTCGATTCGAAATTCCAATCCCCTGAAGAACGTCGGAGCGTACAGCGAACGAAAAGTTGTGAATATGGCAATGAAGATGAGGATAACAGTCCGAATAATGTAAATAATTTAATATATTTGTGTAATATACTACCTATGATATCCTGGCTTACATTAACATCTTCTTGAGCTGTACAGGGATGTGCAAAAGTAGATATACAGTAATGAAAAACAAAACGAATTTAAATGAATCGTAGAACCACTGTTATATTACTGGTAATATTGGTATAATACTTACTGTATTCTTAAATATTGCTTGAAAAGTGTACTGTTGGTAATTTTTAATGTATTTTTATACTTTCACAGTGTTTTTGCTTGGGGTTAACTCTTTACCCATAGCTGGTATCCTGATAGGTACTACCACTCCGGGTCAGGGTGTTGCTGGGAACAACAGCAATTAAAAGGTGCTTCAACGCTCCTCAAAACCTCCAATCTCCGAGTCAGAGGACTTGCTGCCGGATGTAGTTTATCGTCATACCCAAGACTAATTTATATAGGGAAAATCCTTAGCAATGTACTGACATGGTAAAATCATTGGTAATTTATTAATATGGTCTAATAATTAGCAATGCATTTATATAGATGTTGTAAATTTGATCTCATTCGCGTCGCCAAAATGTTGTAACCTAGGAAATGTTGCTGAATAGAATAAACGAAGGTTGATAATGAACGATAATACTTAGGACAAGGACAACACATATAAG